ATTTGCATCATGGCTTCTTGGCGGCAACCGGTGCAAGTGCAAGATCGGTTTGGGGTTTAGGGTTTCCTCAACTCTGATTTTGTAAGCCTTGGCATTTCAAGGATGCATGTATTTGGGCGATTAGAGGAGGTTTGCAGGCACAGGTGCAACGGGATTTGCAGAGCTTTTGTGTTGAATACCTTCATTTCTTATTCCGGGGTCAAAGTTAACAGTAAACAAGGGTTACCCTGACGCCTAAGGCCAAAAAGACAAGAACAAGATTTAAAAAGTTGGTGCTTGGGTTCAGGGTAGTAGTTTTATAGGTTATTTGGGGCCCCGGGAGTATAAGAATATACAATATACAATATATATATATATATATATACATGAGTGTTAGGTCCTTGGATCCTTGGTCAAGATCTTCCTGGCTTTCTTGAGTGGACCTCGTATGAGGTTAGTTAGGCCGTCAGAACCTAAAGTCGCAGACTCCTAAGGTGTACAAATCTCTCAAGACCTATTTTGAATACCACCAAACCTAAAGCATCCGAAATGGCCAAAGCCCTAAAGCCTGAATCCTGATGTCGAGGCCGCGCGTGAGAGCATAGACCCTGATACCTGTGCCCTGTCCCATAAGTTTAGGGTTAGGGACACAGCCCCCAACCCTAAGCCTTAATCCCTGAACCCTAAAGCCCTAAACCCAAAGTCCCCAAACCCTTAATCCTAAACCCGTCATCCCATGAAGGCACGCACAGACGCTCGGGCTTCGCTGGGCCTCGACGAAGCCATCGCCCGATGCAAGGTGCGGTTTAGGGTTCTATTGGGTCTTACATGTTTTTTTTTTGGGGGGGGGACTGCGTGGTGCAGGTTTCAGGGTTAGGACAGTTGCATTTCAGGCTTCAGGAACCTTGGGTTTAGCCTGAAAGGCTTTATGGTTTCAGGTCTGCAGAGCTTTAGCGTTTTAGGGCGCTTGGGCTCTTCGGGTACATGCAAGACTCGGCCTGCTGCAGCTACAGAGAATCCGTCTGTTCAAGTCTTGAGGGCCGTCGGACCCATACAGCCCTTCAGGGATAGTGGGTTCCATAAGCCTCAATGCCTCAGTGCTCTACGCGATGGAGGTTTGAAGGCTAGAAGGTACAAGTTACGTGTTAGTCCGTGTTAGATTTCGTCGCACCAGGATAGTGACCATGCAAGGGACGGAAAGCCCTTCCCTCATGCGTAGCTTGATGTTGATGTGTGTTTCATGCAAAAGCCAAGCACGCACAGCCGACATACACACGCACACACACACACACACACTCGCACAGGGACGGAGACATTGGCATAGTAGCAAGAGTACACCGTCTACAACGCATGGTTGGTTTTGGGATGCCCTTGACGAAAGCCGGGAACATCCATGTCTCAGTCCATATTGGTTCATTGTATCTCCGCCAAAAACACTCGAAGCGAAACCCGCCCAACCTCACTCTCCAACTAGCCAGACCTCATGCTGTTAGTTAGGGGTCTCTGGGTGATGGCTTTCAGTGTTTGGGGTAGATGCTGGTATTTGGAGAGTAGGTCTGAGTTTTTGTTCGCTGGTCGTGTCACGAGGGGCCAAGATCATCAGCAACCTAATGGAGGAACATGACTAAGACATCACTGGCTTGCGCCCCCTACTATTGTGAGGATTTCAGAACCAGGCTCTTGCAATATTGTCGGGACAGAAGTCTTAGAATACCGCAGACACCCTCCAGGCCCGAAGCCCCAGACTGCTATCGCCCGGAACCCGAGACGAAGCTAGCGCACGCCACTCCTGAAACAGTAAGCGATAAGCTCCTGATTCTCAATGTCAATCTCCCGTTTGTTCATGCCCTGATTGTGGAATTTCGCGGATTGGGATGTAACCCTTAATTAACCCTAAATCCTAAAGCGAGAGGGAAGAAACCCTCAACCCTACACTCTAAACCCGAAACCCCAAACCCCAAGACGCAAGAATGTCTCAGTAGCTCGGGATGCAAGATGCCAGTCTTAGTTGAGGAGTTGTAGGATGTGCCGTTACCCAAAGGGTCCTAGGTACTGTCATGGGGCATCCTTCCCAAATCATAATAATGATTCCTAATGTAGAAACCAGACATTCTACTACGTAGATACTTAGGACACCCTTGAGCCCTAAACCCTTAAAAAGGAACCCTTAAAAGGAACCTATATAGGTACTTAGGACCCTTTTTGGGTTAGGGGCAGACGTTCAGACCTTAGTGTTCCGCCTGTCTTAAGCAACGTTAGTGCCTTCAATCTTGAACCCATAATGCCGCATGTCATGATCGTACTCACAATCACCTGTCAGCATTTTGTGGCGCGAGTCTGTTGGCCCCGACTGTGATGATGTCAACCTCGCTGATGCTGGTTTTGCCAAGCCGCCTGGTGATGCATTCACGCGATAGGCAGGCGCAGGGATGTCCTGGCCCGGCGGCAAAGCTGGGGACACGAGAACTCTGAAGCCGGTGTCGACGCAGAACTGCTTGCAAGTGGAATCGCCCAGGCCGAAAACGCAGAACTTCACACCTGCCAGCCCAATCAGTGGCAGATCTGGAGACTGGAGCTTCAGCCGGGTCTGCTTGCAGCTGGCCGGATATGCGCCCAGCCCGCACGTGGACACCACCAAGATGACAATCTTCTGGTCTGGTAGCACCTCGAGCTCGAGGTCATCCAACGTTCTCACGGTGGATTTCAGTCCACCTGCAGTGAGGTCTTGCATTAGATGCTTCGCCAGCTCCTCTGCATTGCCACTCGTGCTGCCGCGTAGCACCGTGATGGAGTTCAGGAATCGGGCCCTGGTGTCTTGCTGGTAGAGCCCCTTGGACATGAGCTCCTTACCGACGTACATCGGCCGTTCCAGGGCATGTTGACACAGCTGGTTGTCCTGGTTGAGGAAAATGTGTCGGGCCTTCTGCAGAGGCTCATCGACCATTGGATGGGGATCCACCGTGCCGCCGAGATGCCAGCAGCGCAGGAAGATCACGATTTTCGTACATCGGCAGTGGTGTGGGGCCAGGAAGCTTGTGGAAGCCAGTGTCAGCATCGTCGCCATCTCCGCTTGGCAGCTGTTGTTTGACGAACCGCCTAATTACCCCGTGGGGCCATGGCTGCGGTTCTGGGACTCTGCGATCTTCCCCCAGTTGTCGGGGGCAATTCGGACCCTTGGCTTGCACACACACATGTATATATATATATAGATATGTATGTATGTATATATATATATACACACATTACGGTGGTAAAAACCAAGCCTGTTCACGGTTGGAGCTGTTACTTCGCGGCCGTCCGCAGTCCCTCAAATCTTGACATTTGGTCTCCCAAGTGCCAGAACACACCCGTTTAGAGTTTCGGAGCCAGGGTTCAACCCAAAAGCCCGATTCACGATTGAATTTACAGGCATAACCACCTTAACATAACAAATTTTATCTACCCCCCGAACGAAAACTGGCAAACTGGTTGCTGCTGTAGATACGTCAAACGCAACCTTGGTCTGCAAGGTCCTGCCATCTTGTTGAAACCAGGGAAAGGACGTGGAAGGGATGTGGTGAAGAGTCTACACTTTAGATTTCTTTCCATATGTGCGAATTTTGGCATACATGGGCCTATCATCGAATCATATGAAGCCGCATAAGATGTGCATGAGACTCTTGTGATGCCCTTGACGGTTGGATCCCTTGGAATGTTGATCGGCGCAATCGGCCGTCTGCTTGTGCCACAGTGTCCGGCAACAGTTGCATGACTATGCAAGGGCAAGGGCCGGGGCTTGGGGCTTGTATGCCTTAGCGTTCAGGGCTTCATTTAAAAGTGTAAAAGTTCTTCTCGTAGCATGTCTCCAATCAGACCGGCACAACGGCCAGAGCAGCCACCATCAGCTCAGGCTTTAGAGCACCATCGTCGCCCCAGAACCTGAAGCACCAACTTGTAAGAGCATTAGCACCGGCACCAGCACCGGCACCGGCATCGGCACCAGCACCACCACCACCGCCACCCATCACTACAACCAGCACCAACGACCACCACGCCCTCCAGTTTTGAAGATTGGCATTAGGTGTGCCAAACTGTGATCCGGAAGTGCTAGTACGACCCAGTATCCGCATCTTGAAGATTGAATGCTCAAATATCAGGCTCACGAAATGACTAAGCACATGGTTGGAAAATCGGAAACATGAGATATTGAAACTTAGCATGTGAAAGCCAAAGGCCTACAATCCTCAAGCTCGTTGTTTCAGCATTTGGCAGTAATCTTTCCGGGAAATGCAGACCGTCAGGAGCACATGTGTAGGGTTTACATGGATTCACTTTTGGCCGACATCTTGCAGACCCTCGACTGGTGGTTGCTGATGCTAACCAGGGCTTCAGACTAGTAACAGGGAGTTAGCATAGTCCAGTCGGAAGAAGTGCAATTAAACAACAATGATGATGCTTGCATGTACCTTGAGACGATGGTTGAGGTTTGACATTTGATACCAAACGCCTTAATCTGGTGATCAGTATCGCGGTATGTGCACCAGCAAGCAAGCACTGAACCAATTTGGTGCTGTCAGTACCAATACCAGAAGACCAAACCCTGAACCCCCCGACTGTACACTTGTATTTGCCCTTGCATGTGTCCGGAAGTGTGTGGGGCGGTAGCGTTGATTGGGCTGGGAGCCTGTTAACTCTGACAAGTGGCCATTTTGATCTTGAGCCCTCGCATATCAACATGAGCAAAACAAGTACAAAGTCACAGCACAGCTGCTATGACAACTGCGGCCCCTCCACCCGAAGAAACTTTCAACCCTAAGCCCTAACCCCCTGGACCCTAAACCCTAAACCCTCAAACCTCCAACCCTAGCCCTGTAAACCCTGTCCCTCAGCTCCTATGTTAGGAATGATTATTATGATTTGGGAAAAGCCTATACAGTAGAATGTAGGAATGTAGGGTTGTTATATTAAGAATCATGGTTATGATTTGAGAAAGTATCCCTCACAGTACCTCGGACCCGGTAGAAAGTATCAAAGCTGGGAAGGCGTTTGTCGAAGCCGGAGCTGACATCACCTTCCTGGAGGCCTTTGGTGCTTAAGGGTTTAGGTTCAGGGTTTTGGAATTTAGGGTTCAGTGTTTTAGGATAGGGAGACTAGTAGGGTTTTTGGGTTCAGGGTTTAGGAAAAGCGGAGATTCTGATCATCCTTAATCCATATTGCAGGTTTTTAAGACTTTACTCCATGGTTTGGGGTTTTAGTGGGTTTAAGCACTTAGGGCATTTCTGGTACTGTTAGGGCTTATCAGGGTTTAAGGCCTTAGGGTTTAGGGTTTAGGGTTGAGCGTCAGCAGGCATCGATCCATTCAGCCCTCATGAAAGTTGAGGTCGCGCTGGCGTACGTTCACATCTTCATCACATTGACTCTAGGAGTATATAGGCTTCTTGCTTGGATGGCGCGTCGCTGCTAGCTTGGGAGGCGGCTTCCGGTTCGTTCTGCCCCCTTCAAATCGTTTGCTTGTTTCCTTCCGGGATCTTGAAATAACAAAACAACTCCTCGTTGCCGTGAGTCTGTGCTGCCCCATATTTAACATAACACCCTGCATCACCCTGCCGCAGTGGCTTTTCAGACGCTACCAACTCCACGACTTGTAACCCCTGCGCCGCAAACTAAACGCCTGAACTACTGAACCAGTCTCGACACAGGTAAGCCGCCGGGTCCTGAAGCTATTGGCTCGCAACCCCCAACCCAAATCTGCAAAGGAATGTTGTTCAAGGGCTTTGACTGACCGGAATGAGGGACACCCGATTTCAAGTCAACTGCTTTCTGAAATCATGCGGCATGCGGAGGCTCCGCTCAGTGAAGAAGAGATGATCAGGCTACTTGGAGGGCTATGGGATGCAGCAAACCAGTCTCAGCAAGGTTGTAATTACTTTGTTTCTGGGTTTGGAGAGTTACTAAAGGCTCAGCACGGCAGTCTCAATTTTTGGGTGGTTCTCATACTAAATACACATACTCCGGATACTAGAGTCAGCTTCACCATGCTACCTATTCTAGCTGCTTCATAAGTCGGGTCTTGATAGGGATCGGAACTCAAGAAGTGAATTGAATGCTCTGGCACGCTCTTTGTCCTCACTCGTGTGTTTGTGCATGCCTCTTTGCTCTCGGTTCTGACTTGAGTCGCCCCATCGCTCTGATTATCGGTGCTACGGCTAGTACGGTTACTGTCGGTTTGTGATTAATCCAAGGCAGTCTTGTCATTGTACGACTTGAAACTGCTTGAAACCTTGGTTCAATGTCAGGACCCAAACCCTAAACCCTGAACCCTAAACCCTAAACCCTAAACCTCTAAACCCCTAAACCCTAAACCCTAAAGCCCTAAAGCCCTAAAGCCCTAAAGCCCTAAAGCCCTAAACCCTAACCTATTCAGCAAGTTGGTGCTTGCATCTTTCCCGGGAGGTGAAAGCGTGCAGCAAACGAAGCCTGACCCCTGAGCTCAATTTCCCTAAGGGTCCATGTACTCATATAGTATATACATTGGCCTTAATGTAGTTCTTATTTAGGTACTTTAGGGTCGATGTATACACTATATGGGTACATGGACCCTTAGGGTTTGTAACATCTCCAACGATATAGGCTTCCGACATTGTATTCCTTTGGGTGTCCTGTTAAATGTATAGTAACGTGTAACCCAAACCACATTCTAAATATTCAGGCCGCTATATTTGAATTTGCCCATGGTTGTCTGCACAAAAAGCACCTTTAAAGTCTGATGTATGAGGGCTTAGGTTTGATACAGGTTTTTGGGCTGAGGGTTTGCGTGTCAAAGTTAGTTCCCTTTTTGTATCATGTCTTTTAGTATTAAAAGTAGGAGAAGGGATGTTTAGGCGCAGAGGCTCGGCGTCCTGAATTACATGGAAAAGGGAATCCGTAGACCCTCCATTTATCCTCCTTTAGACCCTCAATGGTGAATACCCCCTTATTTGCCCCTGTTTGAGCCTACAGAACAGGTCCTGCTACATACCTTAACCTGTTGAGTGGATTGGAGTCTCTCAGCGCGGGGTGAGGAGCTCAGGAACAGCAAAGTGAACCACCGGAAAGCCCTAAACCCTAAGCCCCAAACCCCAAACCAGAACCCTCGACTCTAGACCCTGGAAAGGTAAGACGCTTGAAGTGGCCAGGTACTGCGCGGAGACTCCCGGGTACAAGATGGTCCGCCTCTGCAAGACTGTTGGAGGGATTTAGGGTTCATGGTTCCGGGCTCAGCAGTGGTTTCGGATTCTGGATTGTGAGCTTAAGTCGGTTAAGGTTGCAGACTTCTCGGCTTGGTTGCTTGGGAGTGGTTGTGGCAGGCGTATCAATCCTGCTTAAGCCCTGCGTGGTGTGCTTGGGTGCATCAGCAGATTCTCTAGCAGACTAGGCCCCCTTTGTTAACTCGTGCATTCAAGCAACACAAACCCCTAACACTATATAGGGCCCTTGGGGCTAGAGTACCCTATATAGTAGGTACCTGGGTGGTTAGGGAACATGAAACATCACTCAGGGGTCTGGGTAAACCTTTGCAGTGCCCTTGGCCAGCCATGTCTCGGCCCTTTCTCCCAGATTCGGCACCCAATGCTCTAAACCCTGAACTCTCAAACCCTAAACCCTAAACCCCAATGCTGCTCTAAACCCTGAACTCTCAAACCCTAAAGCCCTAAACTGTAAAGCGAAAACCGCAAAACCGTACACCCTACACCCTGCAAGACGGGATCCAGGTCGTTGGCTGCCTTTTGAAATCTCTGTGGGGCCAGCTTCATGTGAAAGAATGAACAGTTGCCAATGATGTTCCTTGGGTTTTTTACCAAAGTTCAACTAGAACATCGCTCTATACCCTAAACCCCTAAAGCCTAAACCCTCTTCTAGTCATTAAGGCCCCCTCCTTTATTTGCGGCTCGGTTCCCGTGTGTCCGTGTGTGTGTGTGAGCGCGCGTTTGTCTCTGCAGTTATACCTCCCCGTTGTCCGAAAACTGTCACAAGGCCCCGTGCTTGCCTTTAAGACCGCCGATATTGTGAGTGTCGACGAGATCCTGCATCAATACAAATATCCCCAACTGTCATGGCAGTCATTGTTTATACAGCCCCCACGCTTCCTAAACCCGCAACCTCATTGTGTCTGGCCGATTAAGTTCTGACCCCTAGGTCCTGCTTCATGAACCGAGGACCTATATAGACCTCGACACCCAAAGCCTAAATTCCACCTCAAAACCATCCTCTGCAATTGGCTTTGCTCTTCTGAGGAGTTCAGAGAAGGCTTATGCAAGATTTAGGGTTTAAGATATCTAGGGTTTAGGGCTTTAGGGTTTAGGGTTTAGTTTCCCGGCTGCTTGCAAGAGTCCTGGATGCAAAAAAAGGGTTTAGGGTTTAAGGTATTTTGCTTCAGACACCAGCTCAGGTGAATATGCTGCCCAGTGGCAAGACACCCTTCCTTCCACATCAGCGACTCCATGAGATCGGCTACACGCCGAAACTGGGAATCAGACTTGTATTCGGGTGTTTTGACATTTTAGAAGATGCATGCTCTCGTGCAGGAACTTCACTTTGCGCTTACTGCGGAAATCGTCGTCATTTTCTTGCATGGCAAGATCACGAACTGTAGCCAGAAGTGCTCGGCTTGGCGCGATGCTGCTGTCTTATGTCACTTTCCTGGCAAGCCCGGTTGCAAAAAACGTATATTATACTATATCATAGTCTATTATAGTATAGTATATTATCGTATGTTATAGTATCGTATAGTATATTAGGAGAGGGTGCCTGAAAGTTTGGGAACCGACCTGAGCTTCCGACCCCAGGGCACCCCCATCTCAAGAGAAGTTCGCAAGAAGGGCCTTGAAGATACCGAGCAGGAGCCTCGATTCAAAGCCCATGTCATGTTGGTGCTGCAGATGGGGAGAGGAGAGAGAGGGAAAGGAGAGAGAGAGAGAGGGAGAGATAGAGAGGGAGAGAGCGAGAGCGAGACCGAGAGAGAGAGAGAGAGAGCGAGAGAAAAGCAAACATGCATCTGTTGGGTTGCTGCATACCTCGCCGGTAGAGCCGAATGCATGGGAAGTGCCAGGGGAGGCCACTCCATAACACGGTGGGTGGATGGGAGGGCCTGCGGCCTGGTGGCTTGGGTCGACATCGAGCAGAAAGAAAGATATGGGTGTGTTCGTTCGTGTGTGTGTGTGTGTGTGTTCTTGTAACTAATAAGATCAAAACATATGCATTTATGTATGTATGTATGTATATATGTATGCGTGAATATGTTCGGTCTCTAACTCTCCGTCTCGATGTTCATTCATTTTCACGGTTCAGCTACAGCTCAGGCTGCGGTAGGCATTGATTGCTGGGATCGGGCGGACGGGAGTGGTAGAACCTTCACCGGAGTGGAGAAGCGGGCGGGTCGGGAGGCACAGCTTGCCTTGGCAGATGGCATGGAGCTCTTCATTCACCTTACTGTACGTTTTACTGTTAGTTGAACTTCAGACCGAATTACAAAGCCACTGTCACAGTGAGGCTATGCTATTGCCGCCTATCCTCTGACATTGCTCTCCGCCGGGTTGCGACACGGTGGCATCCTAGAGCAAACTTGTGGGGAAGGAGAGAAGCTGCATTCGGAGGCATGTCTTATACTAGTTTACTAGTATATTTAACAGTATGCTAGTTACTAGTATACTATTATATATATATATAAACATATGAAGATATGTATATATATATATATATGTCATAATATTAATTATTGAACATTATACTGTTATGCTATTACATTTCGCCGGCAATCAGGGGGTGAGCAACATTGCCAAGCAATCTAGGTCATCTTGCCCCACTTCTTGCTCGACGACTAGTTTACCGTAAGCACCGAAAAGTTGGAAACCGGATTAAGGACAATTACTGCTGGGGTTGCTTATACATTACTTTTAAGGATAGAGGCTATTGGGTTTCCAACTTATGTGCTACGATGTCTGGCAATCTTGCTCCCCCTTGCCCCACTTGCCCCGTTTGCTCGTTGACTAGCTTACCTTTTGGAGACCAGGATTGCAAGATTGCT